TAGATAGATAGATAGATAGATAGATAGATAGATAGATAGATAGATAGATAGATGATGCAGGCATACATCATCCATGCATACATACAGAGACAGATGTGCATACATTTGTATATTCAACCCACTACTAGGTCCACTTACTGATGCTTGTGTGTACACATGTTTACATGTGATCACTTGGGAAATGAGAACCCATCATAGGGCTCGTCCCTAGAGAAAAAGAATTTTCCCCTCTCTTGACAGCTGTTGATTGCCTCCAACTCTTCCTTTAAAGGTGCATCATATGAAATTTCTCCCATTCCACAATGTTCTCTGATCGTTAGGTTAGAGATTGTAGACCATGGACAGTGCATGATCACTTATTCTCTACGTTTGGCAAGCTGTGGCTCTCTGTTAATAGTCTTCATCTGGGAAAAATAAAAATAAAGGAACTTCTTTGATGAGGAATGAGAGTTATACTTTTCTAGATGGGCTGATGTACAGGGTCCATTTTTTTTAATTTCTGGAAATTTAAAAGTTTCATATTATTAATTATATGTATCCTTTGGTCTGTGTTAAAAACCTAAATAAGCATAGATAGATAGACAGACAAATAGACAGAGAGAAATTCTAGGTAAACCAAAGAATAAATGACACAATAAAAGTGATCTGGATTCTTAGTGCTAATACTTTGGTTTATTTCTTTTTGGACATCTATATGATTAACAATTTCAGATTAAACTCTAATTAAATGACCTAAATAATTAAACCAATTCTAGAAGTTACACATTAAAGTTTGCTTTATACAAATATGTTCATAACCACAGGCCTCACTACCACAGTGACTGATTTTGTACATAAATTCTATTATGAACAGGTAAGATTTTATGGGGAAATAAATTAGTAGATCTCATTTTGTGGATTTACTATTTCTCTAGCTTTGGAAGAAGAATTTATGAAATTGCCTTATGAACAGCCAGGTTTCCAGCTCTCTGTTTTCAGCAACTCCAGACCACACAGTGTCAGTTAGCTGCTGTGCAGACATAGAAAATAACAATGAACAAAACAAATGTGTGAAATTGGTATGACAAAACTTAATGCATGAGGAAAATGTACACTGGGGGCACAGAGCTTACTTAGCTTTGCCGGAAAGACAGATATGTGGAGAAGAGCAGCATCCATGAGGAGAAAACAGCGGTGAAGAGATGCCGAGGGGGCTGGCCGGGTGTGACAGCTCTGTGCAGTCAGAGCACAGGAGATGAGATGAGCTAGAGCACAGCAGGGAGGCTGAAGTGGAGTGTGGCTGCTGGGGTGTGGGGTAAGCACTGAGAAACTGAATGAACGTTAGTCCTTGGGAGTATTTTAATATAGGATAGCAACATGACTTGATTTTGAGCTACATAGATGTTTTTCAAGATTGGCTCTTTTCCTATTAGGAATAATTAGGCTCTAAATTTTTTTTTAAAGTCAATACATTATCTGATTGCTCCAGTCCTTGAAATATTCTAACTACAATGTAGCCATATTGCCAGAGAATTATAAAAATTATCACATTGCTTGAAGTTATAATTAGTATTCAGAGGGTCTTACTACAAGGTTTTCTTTACTTGACGTGATGGTTAGTTTCTAAGGTCAATGTGACTTGGCCTAGAATCACCTGTAAGTAGGATCTCAATGAGACACTGTCTACATTGAATTGGTCTGTGGCTGTGTTTGTGGAGGACTGTATCAATTAAATGAGAAATCTAGATGTTCCAACTAGATGTTGGAAGTCGGTATTTCCTAGGCAGATTACTGAGTTGAGAACAAACGAGCAAACAAGTGATCATGCCTGAATTCATTCCACTCTGCTCTTGACTGTGGGTGTGACGTGGATAGCGGTCTCAAGCTCCCACAATTGTGTCTTCTGTGTTATGATAGACTAAAACCTGGAACAGTGAACTATAAAGTTTCCCTAGATTACTTTTTGGTCAGGGCATTTGATCAAAGGAATAGAAATGAAACCAGAACAGTGTTTTACATTTTAAGACATTATATTTTAAAGCAGAGTGATATATTCTATGTTTAATAAAAGAAAAATGTTGTTTTATTTTATATGACCAAATAAAAGCTATTTAAAAAGACAACTGTATTCAATAACCCTGCTTCCTTTTCTAGGATAGAGTTCAAGTCAGTTTAACTCGGCAGAATTTGTAAGGATGTGTGGCTGGCCCTGAAGATACAAATGAATTAGAATCTTCTCATTGCTTATTTGACTGCTTTCTCTTGATTGTTTGCTGTGTATTAAGCCCTCTTCTGATTTCCACACTGGGCTCTGGGACACTTTCTTCCTGTGTCTGAAAAAAATTCTTCTTCAGGTAGAGATAGGGCACTTTCCTTATTTCCCAGACAGCTAGCCACACCTACTCCATCCAAAAACTCTCTCACGATCGTATTACACTCATTTATGTATTTATGTGTGTGTGTGTGCTTACTCACATGCATACATGTGTATGTGCTCAGGGGTGAGCAAGCCTGCATGCTGTGTACATGAGCAGGTGCAGGTGTGGAACTCAGAGAACGAATTGCAGGAATTAGTTCTCTTCTTCTGCCTTTTTAGTTATTACTTGCTTTCCACGCCTTAACTATAGCATCCTATGTGTATTTTCCTGATTCTTCTCAGGAAATCATTCATGGCTTCACATTAGCCACTCTGCCTCGTGATGACAATAGCAAAAGGAAGACATTTTGAAGATATTCAGTGAAGCCTTTCCGAAATAATGTATTTGCATGCATATATAATGTGCATGTTTGCATACAATGTAGTAATACACAGGAACATGTATATTTTTTTTGAGACAGGGTCTCAGTATGTAGCCTTAAGCTTGTCAGAATCTCGATATAGACCGTGTTGTTCTGGACTCACAGAGATCTGCTTGCCTCTGCATCTCCAGCCCTGATATTAAAGACACGTGCTATCGTCCATGACCAGTATGTGCATTCTTCACCAACTCTCCACAGTAAATTTTTAGGTTTTTCAGTGGCTGTTCTACCGTTTGTCCTTGCTCACCATCTAATGTTTGATCTTGCATTTTCTTTCTGCTTTAGGCGCAGAATAATTCATCTTGTGAAAATTGGCTGGCAGCAGAGAACACCTTGAAAAAGTACTACCTCTCCACATTTTATGGGATCGAGTTCGTTTTCGGAATGCTTGGGAATGTCACAGTGGTGTTTGGCTACCTCTTCTGCCTGAAGAACTGGAACAGTAGCAACGTCTATCTCTTTAATCTTTCCATCTCTGACTTGGCTTTCCTGTGCACCCTTCCTATGCTGATAAAGAGTTATGCCACTGAGAAGTGGAGCTATGGAGATATTCTCTGCATAAGCAACCGCTATGTCCTCCACGCCAACCTCTACACCAGCATCCTTTTCCTGACTTTCATCAGCATAGATCGGTATCTGCTTATGAAGTTCCCTTTCCGAGAACACATTCTGCAAAAGAAGGAGTTTGCCATTTTAATCTCTTTCGCTATCTGGGTCTTAGTGACTTTAGAAATTTTGCCTATACTCACTTTCATTAATTCTGTCCTAACACAAAAGGGCAACAGCTGCATCGACTATGCAAGTTCCGGAAACCCCAAATACAATCTCATTTACAGTCTGTTCCTGACTTTCCTGGGTTTCCTCGTTCCTCTTTCTGTGATGTGCTTCTTTTACTACAAGATGGTAGTCTTCCTAAAGAGGAGGCGCAGGCAGCAGGCGACGGCCCTGCCGCTGGACAAGCCTCTGCGCCTCGTGGTCCTGGCGGTAGCAGTCTTCTCTGTGCTTTTCACACCCTATCACTTCATGCGCAATCTGAGGATCGCCTCACGCCTGGAGAGTTGGCCACAGGGATGTGCGCAGAAGGCTATCCAAACCTTGTACATCCTGACCAGGCCCCTGGCCTTTCTGAACAGTGCCATCAACCCTATATTCTACTTCCTCATGGGAGACCACTTCAGAGAGATGCTGTTTAATAAGCTGCGGCAATACTTCAAATCCCTTACGTCCTTTCGGATGCGAGCAAGTGGATGAAGGTCTTTTCTCAGCCAAAATAAGGGCCTTCGCAAATGAAGCTGTGTAGTTGTTTTTGTTGTTTTGTTTTGTTTTGTTTTGTTTAATTGTTTGTTTGTTTGTTTGTTTGTTTGTTTGAGACAGAGAGGATTTCTCTGTGTAGCCATGGCTGTCCTGGAGTTGCTTTGTAGACCAGGCTGGCCTCAAACGCAAAGAGATACACCTGCCTCTGCCTCCCGAGTGCTGGGATTACAGTTGCACAACCCTCTCCCTTCCCTCTCTCCCCCCCCGCTGTGCAGCTGAATTGTAATCAAGTAGACAACTATCTCCAGTCTTTTGTGCCTCCACCCCACCTGGCCCCCAAGGGCTTGAGTTCAAGCTGGGTCTTAATGTACACTATTAACTGTTATTTTTAGAAGTTACATTCTTAAAAAGATTAAATAACAGCAACATCTGAATAAAGCAATATAATTTAACTATAATTTAATATACAAGTAACTACTCTGTACTGATCATGACTCATGATTCACCTGTAATGCTTTGGCCCTTTTCTGTTAGATGGGCTATAGCAAAAAGGATCCTATTTTGGTTAAAGGATATTCAATGTTAAGCAAAGAAAATGGGTATATTTTAATTTGGTTGTCAGGAAATTCAGCCATAATTAAATTCCAGGGTAATTTTACTCAAATTAAAAAAAAAAAAAGAAAAAAAAATCAACATGCCAACTATGGGTTCTAGAAAGTCCACCATTACAGAAAAAAAAAATGTGTTAGAAACCCTAAGCAAAATAAAACACACCAAAATGAGTTCATTGTTTCTGTGATGATTGAGCTGTCTGGAATTTTGATTTCACAATCGGATGCCCAGTACATGGAAGTATAGTAAAAAGTTCCTTCTGTTTCCATCTCCTCTAAACAGTGAGCTTTAGAACACATTATTGGACCTGGAGTTTAACAGTTAAGAGCACTTGCTGTTCTTGTTGAGGTTTAGGTTCAGTTCTTAGCTCCCATACTGAGTAGCTCCCTTTAATTCCATACATGCCCCTGTCACTCCAGCTCTGGGAGATCAAACACCTCGTTATGGGCTCCATGAGTACCTGGATACACATACGAACAAGCAGGCACATGCATGTAACATAAATAAATCTTTATTTTTTTCTGTGTTTTAAAAATTTATTTAGTCATTTTTGTCATTTATTCACTTTACATCCTGATAATAGCTCTGTCCCTCATCTCCTCCCAGTCTCACCCTCCCTCCTTTTTGCCCTCTATCCACCTCCCCTAGACCACAGAAAGGGGGATCCCTCCTCCCCTAAGGTCTGACCCTAGCCTATCAAGTCTCATCAGGACTGCCTGCATCCTCTTCCCCTGTGGTCTGACAAAGCTGCCCCACCAGGGGAAAAGTGATCAAAGAGCAGGCATAAGAGAAAACTCGTGCTCCCCTTGCTAGGGAACCCACAGGAAGTCTTAGCTGCCTATTAGCTACATCTGAGGAGGAAGCCTGGGTCCTCTCTAGGTCTTTTTATCCCCCCACTCTTCTTTGAGACTCCCTAGGCTCTGCCCAAAGTTTGGCTGTTAGTCTTAGCATCTGCTTCAATCCCCTGCTGGGAAATATTTCAGAACACAGCTATGGTAGGTTCCCATCCTGTTCTTTCTCTTCAACTGTTTCTGATGGTTATTCTATTTGTTCTTCTGAATGAGAATTAAGCATTTTCCCTAGGGTCTTCCTTGTTATTTAGCTTCTTTACATTCTTACCCATCAGAATGGCTAAGATCAAAACCTCAAGTGATAGCACATGCTGGTGAGGATGTGGAGAACACTCTTCCATTGCTGGTGGGAGTGCAAACTTGTACAACCACTTTGGAAATCACTCAGGAACTTTCTCAGAAAATAGGGATTAGTGCTATTCCAAGACACAGCTCTACCACTCCTGAGAATACACTGGAAAGATACTCCACCATACAACAAGGACATTTGCTCAACTATGTTCATAGAAGCTTTATTCATAATAGACAGAATCTGGAAACAATCTAGATGTCCCTCAGCTGAGGAATGGATAAGAAATTGTGGTACATTTACACAATAGAACATTACTCAGCTATTATAAACAAGGAAATCATGAAATTTTCAGGCAACTGGATGGAAATAGAAAAGATCATCCTGCGTGAGGTATCCCAGAAGCAGAATGACATGCATGGTATATACTCACTTACAAGCAGATATTAGCTATATAATATAGGATAACCATAATAAATAAATTTTTAAAATAAAAATATTTAATATCAGAAACTAGCATATAAGTGGCAAGGAACTATTAATTGCATGGTCTGGTTTTCTTGCAGATAGCCCTGCCACCATGCTGAAAGACTGAGCGTTACTTTGAGAGGACCAGGAACGTCAGTTGGTTCATATTATACCTGAGTATATGCTCTCTACTTAGGTTTACACTTCGTTTTGTTTGTGTGTTCATTCTTGAATCCCTTCACATAGTTTTTCACCTATCAGATTCTATAGACACTTTTTTGTAAGAAATATGACTAAATTTTATTCACTGAACGAGTAGCAGAATCACTCCCCCCCTCCCCAGAAGATTTAAAAGATAAGGTAACTCTGCAGAGCATACTATCTTAAATTTCCAGTAAAACTTATAAAAAAAATCTCATGGACAAATTTTATCTTGCCCATCTTTCACTTCTAGGTTATGTATCTAATCAACTTGTTTGTGTTTTCTCTCATAGAAGTTTTGACTCTGACACAATCTGATTGGCCTGCTCTTTGATCACCTCCCCCTGAGGGGGGAGCAGCCTTACCAGGCCACAGAAGAAGACAATGCAGCCATTCCTGATGTGATCTGATAGACTAAGATCAGAAGGAAGGAGAGGAGGACCTCCCCTATCGTGGACTTGGGGAGGGGCATGCATGCAGAAAGGGGAGGAAGGGTGGGATCGGGAGGGGAGGAGGGAGGGGCTTATGGGGGGATACAAAATGAATAAAGTGTAATTAATAATAATAATAAAAAGAAGTTTTGAAACCAGTTCTTGCAATTAAATTACTTCCAATAAAAATAAACAGCTGCTTTCCCCCACCATTGGGGAAGAATGTGTGCTTAGCTTGTATGAAGTCCTGAATTAGATCCAAACACACACACACACACACACACACACACACACACACACACACAAACACACACACTATTGAAACTTTTGAAGACAAACATCTTATCTCCTGATAACTTCCCATTTCCTCAGCACAGGCCTACCCAGAAAAAGCAATTTTGCTCCCCTAAATTACTTTTTTATTATTTGTATCAAACCTACTTAAGTACCCCCAATGATCTTACTACGTTTTTCCCCCCCAAGAATTAGTAGGTACCTTTAAACAGAGTTATTCCCATAAATTCAAAGGGATTTGATTTTTTTTCTCAAGTTCTTGGTTTTTTTTTATAAGAAACATTTAAAATATTGCCTTACTCCTTGTCATGGAAAGGAAAGAAAACCAGCTGAGACAGAGGTACAGATAAAACACAGGAATAATAAGAATCACATGATAATGCCATGTGATACCAAGTCCAACCCTCTACACTCACACTGGTAACACAGAGTACAGCATGTTCCTTTTCCAGCCTGTCTCCTGTCAAATAGCATCAGCAGGAAATATCTTCAGTCATTAAATGAGGACTCTGAGATGCTAAAATGTTGAGTGTGTCAGTCATTCAGTGAGGAGTAGAAGCTGCTTGAATGTTGAGTGTATCGGGAACAGCAAGGCAGCATGCGCACATGCATAACAACAAACCAGCTTTCACTCAGGCTTGCCAACCATCCTGTGTGTGTGTCTTCCCTTTGTCTCTATCCCAGTGTAAGAGCTCTGAGAGCAATCAGTGCCCAGGGATTCCCAGCTGCAATGTCTCTGACTAGATTCACAGGTGCAGATTGGTGTAGAAGCCCTGCTTTCATCCTAGGGTCAAGTCCACCTTCTAAGCCATATTTATTAGTAACAAGACAGGGGTTCTATCCTTTTTCTTTATTTTGGATTTCTATGAGAAACTTATTTTTCAGAACCTTAGAGGGTGGCACGGAGGAATCATATTTTCACAAGACACAGTAAACTTGAGGATACATACCCTGTCTAAATGGAAGATTTTTTTTCCTAAATATTTTCCTGTTGTGTCATGCTCCAGTCATTAGTTACACAACCCCGCCAGATGGCCCAGAAAACCCTGCTGTAGGGAGACTTCCAGCAACCTCTGCAGTTCTTCCCTGTACCAACCATACAAATAATACTTAATTAGAAGGCTGATTTTTGTTTACATTCTTTGAAAGTAACTGTTAAATTACAAATTTTGCTGGGCTATTAACTCTAGCTAGAAAAAGTAAATAGTGATATTTACCTGGTTTCTAAAGATGGTGAATTACTTCAAATCACCTTTCATGTCATATGGATTCACCGTACATGGGACAATAAGTAAAATGTACAGTGATATACTTCTATCATTTTTTATGGAGGAATGAAGCAAGGAATACTCTGTGCATAGCTGCTATCTAGCTTTGTTACAAAATGCCTGTTGCATTCCTCTCCCCCATGTGCTACTGATGAAACAGGGCTTAAGAGATTTCGTAAAGATGTTGCCAGAAACAGGGTCAGAGTTAACTCCAAAATACACCCCAATCCTGCTTTACCATTTTATTTGAACATGAATTCTCCATGAAAATGTGTGTGTGTGTGTGTGTGTGTGTGTGTGTGTGTGTGTGTGTGTGTGAAATGCTATCCAAGTGACTACTTTTGCCTTTAATCTCAAGAGATCTAAGCATGGGTTTGGATTTTTTTTTTTCAAAACTCATAGTCATAGTTGATATATGAAAAGGCTGATCAGAGGAGAGATCTTTACTTGTTTTGTTCCTGAAGATAGCTAGTTTTGTCATAGAAGATTTAATCTTTGAGAATAGAGTTTGAAGCCAATGCAAAGCATGCTAATTTTGCAACTTTCCAGAGAAAAGTGTTGTATTAAGTTAAATGTACAAAGGTTTGTACAGGAAAGGCCTTCACTCCAGTTCACTGCGGCTAGCTGTGGATGACAGTAGTGAGGAAGCATGAGGGACTCATCCTTAGGCTTCATAAGCCATTGCTTCAGCTGTACTTGCCTCCCATACACTGTGCCTGTTTCCTGTGGCATTCTAATAGGTGACAAACAGGATGAGGAGCATATCATAAGAAAGTTAGCAAATTGTGTAAGACTGACCAACACTTAAGGAGTTATTACCATGCTTTCCAATTCCTCTGTCCACCACTGGGGAGAGCAGCATGTGGCTTACATATAGAAAGGATTCTCTGAAGGATAAACAGAAAAACCCAGTCATATAGGCAAATTCAGCTCTATCCCATTCCAGGGAAACAATCTAACACACAGAGGACAGACATCATGTTAATCACGTGGATTTTTTTTTTCTTCCGGCCTGAGTTGCAACACAAATATCAGAATTATTTGAAGAAAGGTAAATATAGCCTATTCCGGATGAGTTATTTTTTTTCAAATATTTCAAAGCGCTGAGATGCAAGCAGTATAATTTTGTAAGCAACTAGCACATGTAGGTACCAAGCCTTCAAGTAGTAAAAGATAAAAATAAATGTTTTCCCACACTTACCCTAAAAAACAGCAAAATATTTTGAGATACAGATGGTGTGGGTGATAACCACTGTAATGGTGGTGGTACCTGTGAGAATCTGAGATGGCAGATAAAGGGGAAGATGTGTCCAGGGCCTAAGGAGTTAGTCAGAACACTTGGATTCAACAATTCCAAGGGAACGTATATTAATGTATCTGAAGCAAAGGACAAACAAAGCACAAGGCTAGGCAAGAGAACTGAGGCATGAGTTTTCACATGCGTTGTGGCCTCATGTTAACACTGGGCAGGATTTTAGACTTTCTGACTAGGTACAGAATAAATGAGGTAATTGACATTTTCCACAACTGTCATGTTCACCAACTAGTAGAGCCAACAGTCTTGCTATATTTGTCACACAGTCATTTTTTTAATTGTGTCCTATTTTCTCATTAAACTCTCTGTAACTGGGACTGATGATAAAATGAATTACCGATATGGAGATGGGTTCTAAATTAAAGAAAGAGCATTATAACTAGTGGGTAACACATTAAATTTTAGGTATATAAAATTCACAATGAAGTACTAGTGACAATATCATATGAACAAACAGAAATATAAAGTGATTTATCTTTAGAACATAATGAAATAATTTTTAAGTGTGAAGGCAACTGGATTATGTTGAGCTTGAGAAGGCAGGGATTATAAGTCAATCAATTTATATTTGATTTTTTAACTTAAATGACTTTGTTGGGAAACATTCATTTGTTTTGGTAGTATGTTTTACTCAACAGTTTCTCTTTTATTCTTACTAATTACACTTTATTCACTTTGTATCTCCCCATAAGCCCCTCCCACCTCCCCTCCTGATTCCACTCTCCCCCTCGCTTCTTCAAGCATGCCCCTCCCCAAGTCCACTGATAGGGGAGGTCCTCTTCTCCTTCCTTCTGATCTTAGTCTATCAGATCATATCAGGAGTGGCTACATTGTCATATTCTGTGGCCTGGTAAGGCTGCTCCCCCCACAGGGGAAGGTGCTCAAAGAACAGGCCAATCAGATTATGTCAGAGGCAGACCCTCTTCCCATTACTATGTAACCCATTTGAACACTGAACTATCATGTGCTACATCTGTGCAGGGGTTCTAGGTTATCTCCATGAATAGTCCTTGGTTGGAGTATGAGTCTCTGGGAAGTTCCCTGTGTTCAAATTTTCTGGTTCTGTTGCTCTCTTTGTGTGGTTCTCATCCTCTCTAGCTCTTACTATTTCCCACTTCTTACATAAGATTCCGTGCACTCTGCCCAACAGTCAGCCATAAGTCTCAGCATCTACTTGGATAGGCTGCAGGGCAGAGCCTTTCAGTGGCCCTCTGTGGCAGGTTCCTAGGTTCTTTCCTATTTTCTTCTTCTGATGTCCAACCTCTTTGCCTTTCGGATGGGGATTGAGCGTTTTAGTCAGGGACCTCTCTCTTGATTAATTTCTTTAGATGTACAGATTTTAGTAAGTTTATCCTATGTTATATGTCTATATGAGTGAGTATATACCGTGTGTGTCTTTCTGCTTCTGGGATAGCTCACTCAGTATGATCCTTTCCAGGTCTCACCATTTACCTGCAAATTTCATGATTTCCTTATTTTTCATTGCTGAGTAATACTCCATTTTGTAGATGTACCACAATTTCTGCATCCATTCTTCAGTTGAGGGGCATCTGGGCTGTTTCCAGCTTCTGGCTATTACAAATAAAGCTGCTACAAACATGGTTGAGCAAATGTCCTTCTTGTGTACTTGACCCTCTTTTGGATATATGCCTAGGAGTGGTATGGCTGGATCTTGAGGAAGCGCTATTCCTAGTTGTCTGAGAAAGTGCCAGACTGATTTCCAGAGTGGTTGTACAAGTTTCTTAAAAGGAACTATTTTTGATGTTTACAATTTCATCAGGCAACTGAGTTCATGATAGAGGCAGCCCATGATTCCCTCACTCAGAGATACACATGGAGACTGAGCTGCCAATCAGCCTCATCTGAGCAGGGAGTCTGGGTCCTTCCTATGCATGGTCCTCCTTGGGGCATCAGTCTCTGCATGACACCCTGGACTCAGATCTTTTAGTTTTGTTGGTCTCCTTGTGGGGTTCCTGTCCCCTCCATGTCCCTGTATCTCCACCCCTCTCTTCCTCCATTAGACTCTCTGTACTGTACTCAAAGTTTGGTCCTGAGTCTCTGTATTTGTGCTTTTATCCCCTGTTGGGTGAATCCTTTCAGAATGCCCCCTATAGTAGGCTCCCATCCAGTTTCTTCTCTTCCACTGCTTCTGCTGT